TGAATAAACTGCACTAGTGGTTACTAACCAAAGGGTCTCAGAGTGACTTTGTGGACCTTGCAGAGGCAGGAGCCGAGGGGGCTCCATCACACTCCGCTGCAGACACCATGATAAAGAAAATGAATCAATCACTGTACTGGACGTTAATTATCTAAGTGCCAGTGATTATGACCTGGTAACATAAAATATAGGCAAACGGAGGACAGTGCCAACCACTAATATATTTATTTGATGCTTCAAAAGGTCTAATTTTCCAAAGATAAAGAAAATTATCAGCAAAGTTGACTTGGAAGAAAAGCTTAGACAGAAAAATGTGCATAAAAAGTGGGCAGTGGAATTTTTAAATGCCCCAAAATACTATGATTTTACAATTTAAAAAAAGACAATTTTGGCTGAAAGCCCACCCTGGTTCAGTGGCAAAGTGAAGGGAACAATTAAAAATAAAAATGCAGTATATAACAAATGGGGGAGGGAAACAGATATTAATCAATGAAATTAGAAATTAAGTGTATTAAATTGATGAGGAGCAGAAGACACCAGGGGAAAGTCCTTAAGACAATAAGGACAGATTTCATAGCAAATCTTAGCAGTGGTATAGGCCTGTACTAGATGGAAATGGTAAAATTGTTAATAATGATGAAGACACAGAAGTTGTGAAGTCCAAAACCATAACTGGGCTCAAAAGAGAATTAGGTAAGTTCATGTAGGATAAGTCCATCAATGCCTATTAGCCAAGATGGTCAGGGATGCAACCCCATGATCTGGGTGTCCCTAGCCTGTGTGTGCTAGAAGCTGAGAGTGGACAACAGGAGATGGATCAACTGATGATTGTCTGTTATGTGCATACTCTGAAGCACTTGGCATTGCCCACTGTCGGAAGATAGGATAGTGGGCTAGATGGATCATTGGTCTGCCCAGTATGGCCATTCTTATTTCTTAAGTGTTCAATACATATTTCTCTTCTGTGTTTGGAAAGATGCAGAATGGTGTACTCATATCGTAACTGTATGTTCAACTACAGTAGAACCTGAGTTATGAACACCTCAGGAATGGAGGTTGTTCATAACTCTGAAATGTCCGTAACTATGAACAAAACGTTATGATGTTTATTTCAAAAGTTTACAACTGAACATTAACTTAATACAGTTTAGAAACTTTACTATACAAAACAAAAATGCTGCCTGTAATATCTTAATTTAAATAAAGCACAGAAACAGCTTCCTTACCTTGTCAAATCTTTAAAAAAAAAAAAAAACACTTTATTGTTTTAGTAGTTTACATTTAACACAGTACTGCGTTATATTTGCTATTTTTGTGTCTGGTGCTGCCTGATTGCATACTTCCAGTTCCAAATGAAATGTGTGGTTGACAGGTCAGTTCAAAACTGGTGTTTCATAACTATGAGGTTCTACTGTACTTTTCAGTCTATTTGTAACTCAGGATGATCTTAGAATATTTTTTTCTACAGAGACATTTTTAAATCAGCATAACTGGACAACTTGCACCAACTGTAAAAGAGCTGTTTTAGGAGACTTCTGGCCCAATGATGTTAATTTTTTAAAATAAATTTTAGAATATGTGGAAAATTCCAGAACACTGTTAGAGTAAAAATCTAGAACTTTCTGCAAATATAAGATCCAAGATAGTCAAATGGAATGGAGAGCTGTACAGGGCATAGATGGATGGAGCATAACACAAAAGAATCTCCAATTATACAGGGAAGAAAAACAATCCTTCTTGGAGTTTCTATACTAACAAGTATGGAAATAATGTTCTGCAAATGACAGACAACAGAATGGTCTGCTGTTTCTTGTAGCCAGGACATGAAATGTGACTAAGATTGGACAGTCTTCTCATATCAGCACTAGTGACACTGCTTCACAAAATACCTCACAGATTGTAGGTGACTTCTGGGAGCTTGGAAGGCTGCTGAAGGAGAAGAATGTCCAAGTGAGCTTCTCTGAGATAATTTCCATCCATGGAGTGAACGAAGAAAAACAACAGTAGATTCTGGAAGTGAAGTGTTAGCTAAGTAAATTGTGTAAGGTACAGAGGTATGGTACTTTGGAACATTGATCCATCCTCAATGGGAAGAGGGACCAGTACATTTTGAACTGCCTCCATTTCAGCAAAGGTGAGTTAATCTTCTAGGGGACAGGCTGGCTAAATTAGATAACGAACAACAAAAAGGGAGGGTGAAAAGAGGGAACAAATGTGGACACAATTAGCACAAAATGAACCAATGCACTGAGGGACATGAGAATAAATTACCTAATTGCCTATACACAATTTAGGAACCTGGGTAGTAAACAAGTAGAATTGAAATTGGTCATTCGTTAACAAATTCAACTTAGTTAGCATTACTGTAATCTGGTGAAAAGATTGGTAGGATTAGAATAATAAAATCAACAGAGAGAGAGAAAGACAGAAGGAATGAATATAAATCAGAATGGTAGAAAATTGATAGAGAGCAAAAGGACAAGGAGAAAAGTATGACCAGAATATTTAGGAGAAATAAAGAGTTTTAAGCTTATAAGATGGGAGAAAAACAATCCTAAGAATAGTTTTGGTCCATTACTAGATGGAAATGGTAGAACTGTTAATAACAATGCAGAAAAGGCAGAAGTGTTCAATACATATTTTTGTTCATTATTTGAGGAAAAAAGCCAGATGAGTGTGTAGTCATATTGCATGACAAAATGCAAAGTTGCAATAGTAACTCAGGAGGATTTTAAACTGCAGCTACAAAAGGTAGACACTTTCCAACCAGGAGGTCCAGATAACTTGTATCCAAGTGTTTTAAAAGATCTGTCCTAGGAGCTCTCTGGACTGTTCATGTTGATTTTCAAGAAGTCTTGAACACTGTGGAAGTTCCGGAGGACTTGGGGAAAGCCCGTGTTGTGGCAATATTTAAAAAGTGTAAATAGGATTACCCTGATAACTATAAGCCTGTCAGCCTGACATCAATCCTAGACAAAATAATGAAAGAGTTGATATGGGATTCAATTAAGAAAGAATAAAGGGAGGATAATTGCCAATCAACATGGGTTTATGGAAAACAGATCTTGTCTGTCTTGATTTTTATGACATTACAAATTTGGTTGATAAAGGAAAGAACATTGTTGTAATATATTTAGATTTGTCTACAGTCTTTGATTTTGTAACTCAATATTTTGATTAAAAATTAGAATGCTATAAAAGTAAAATAGCACACATTAAATGGATTAAAAGCTGGCTAACTTATTAGCCTCAAAATGTGATTGTAAACGGGGAATCATCATTGAGCTTGTGTGTTTCCAGTGGGGTCCCAAAGGGATAGGTTCTTGACCCTATGACCATTAACATTTTTATCAGTGATAGGAAGAAAACAAAATCATCACTGATAAAGTTTGCAGATGACACAAAAATGGGAAGTGGTAAATAGTGAAGAGAACATTTCACTGACACCACGTGATATGGATTGGTTGGTAAGCTAGGTACAAATAGTATGAGTTTTAATATGGCCAATGCAAGTTCATACATCTAGGGGGGGAAATACAGGCCTTAATTCCAGGATGGTAACATGATACTGGGAAGCAGTGACTCTGAAAAAGAATTGGGGGTCATGCTAGATAATAATTTGAACATGGACTCTCAGTACAATGCTCTGGCCCAAAGAACTAATGCAATCCTTGGATGTATAAATGGGAATACTGGGTAGGAGTAGAGCAGTTATATTGCCTCTCTATTTGGCATTGGTAGGACTGCAACTGGAATTCTGTGTCCGGTTATGATACTCACAATTCAAGCAGAGTGTGGAGAAATTGGAAAGGTTCAGAAAAGAGTCAGAAGAGTGATTAAAGGACTGCTAATCATGTCTTATAATGGTTCTCAAGGAACTCAGTCTATTTAGCTTATCCAAGAGAAGATTAGGTGTGAACCCATCACAGCCTATAAGTACCTACATGGGGAACAGAAATTTGATAATAGAGGGCTCTTCAGTCTAACAGATATGGTATAACAAGGTCCAATGACTGGAAATTGAAGCAAGACAAATGTAAGCTAGAAATGGGGTGCAAATGGAATTGCTAACTATTGGAACAATTTACCAAAGGTTGTGGTGGATGGTTTTAAATGAAGATTGGATTATTCTTCCCTAAAAGATATGCTCTGGTTCAAGCAGCAATTAATTCATGGAAGTCCTATAGCCTGTGTTATGCAGGAGGTCAGACTAAGTGATTACAATGGTCCTTTCTGGCCTTGTACTCTATGAATCTAATCTGTGTCAAGTGACTGTTACATAGAAAATACATAAAAATTCTGCACCACTATCAAAAAGGTAGTTGACACACTCATAGTCCATTAAGTCACCTGAAATAATTCACTAACCTTTTCCCAATAGACTCACAGCCAAAATCCAGAGCTTTTGTCTGTTCTTCAAAGTGGACATATCTTTAATAAGCATTTAAAAATTGTACATGCATTTAAAAAGCATTAAAAATATTTTAAATGCATTTAAAAATCATTTTCAGGTTTCATTGCATTAGACTGCTAACTTGACACAATGAAACATCAGGAGGTCAGACTGGTTGATCAGAATGGTCCCTCTGGCCCTGAATTGGATGAATTGGAAACTCTGGTATAATGCAGCGTTAGTGACCTAACAAGCGGAAATGACTGAGGTTAAAAAATCACCACTGCCTCCTTATGTTTAAACCACTGCTTTCCAGTCAGAGGGTGTCTAATCAATACATAAAAAAATGTAGTGGGAGTTGGGGGGGGGGGGGAGAGATGCTCCACCAGTTAATCATACTGCATAGATATGGTATATTTAGAATGGCAGATTGTATTCAAGTATATTATATTTGAACTTGTGAAAACTGACCTACAGCAGCAAGCCAAGCATAATAAGGAAAATTACATTGAAACATATCAATGTTGTGCATGTACAAGATAATACAAATTGGGTAATTTTTTTGTGTGTGTCATTAGGCTGCAGCAAATAAGTTGATTTGATATTGTCAACTCTTCTCAGAGTTATCAATAGCTTCTTTACATTTCTTCACCGCCAAGAAACCTGGTATGATATCTACCTGACGTGCTCTGTATGTCCCTAGTTTGTCATAAGAAATTTGAAAAAACATCATTTCAATAAATACACGAGAAGAAAACAAAATCATTCCACATTTCTGTAATACAGCCGGAAGGTTGCCATGCTTACAGATTTTGAAATACAGAATTCTCCAAAGATTCTGGTGTGAATACTAGTTATATTTTCATAAGATTTATACAAAAACTTCACTCATTAATATGCAATCTAGGATTCAAGCTACCTGTTCTGAAAGAAAATTTCTAAAAATAGAAGAAAGTGCCGACATAATAATTGTGCAGTGTATTGCACGAGTACTTGCACAATTTCCTTCTATTTATATACAAAGCAAATCTGAATCCTAAATAGTGTATGTATCTAACTACAAAAAATGAGTTATATTTCTCTGCTGAATATTAGTCTAGATTTTAAACCCACATACCACCTGACTACTTACCTGGCAAGCAGCTACAGTAAAATTCACCAATCAAATCATTGCAATGGGCTCCATTTTTGCAGGGCTCGAAGGCACATTCATCAATGTCCATTGAACAGTTTTTGTCTGACAGAAAAGAAAACGAAACATTAAAACTATAAATCATGTTGGGTTGGGGAAAGCAGAAAAGCTACTTCATAGTCCAAGTGACAACTACATAATTTAACTTTTCCAGGTTGGGCACATTGTATTTTACTTCTGCTTGACAGCTTTAAAGCGAGGGATTTTCATAGATCATAGCTGATAGTTAAACAAATTAAATATTTTAAAGGTGTGATGTATACAAGAAGAGTGAACTGTATTTGTAAATACATTGTGTGTGTATTATAGGGTCACATTTCCAGTAGTATGGTTACAGTTAGCATTATATGGCACATCCATTAAAAAGCCATTTTAAGAGATTTATTATCTCACCACCAGCAAACTTGCTTCTAAGACTAGCAAGAAATCTGCTGCTCAGATCACGACCATCAAATATAAATGTATCTATCTTTCTTTCTAGTTTTCCCCTTTTCTGGAGGCTTAAAGGAATTACAATGGAGCCTAATTGTCAGATCTCAAAAAGTACTTGTCAGTGGGGAATCTCCATTGAATGGGATGTTTTTAGTGGTGTTGTGCTGGAATTTGGTACTAGACACAATAGTAATTCAACATTTTCATCAATGATCTGGAGATAAATATACAGTCACTGCTGGAAAACATTACGGATGATACAAAGTTTGGTGGAGTGCTAAATAATGAGAACAGGGAAGTCCTACAGAGTGATCTAGGTAACCTAGGCTCATTCCAACAAAACATGATTTAATACAGCCAAATGCAAAGTTTTATATCTAGGAACAAGGAATGCAAGCCATACCTACAGAATGGGGGCTGGAAAGCAGTGACTTTGAAAAGAATGTAGGTGTCATAGTGCACAAGCAACTGAGCATGAGCTCCTAGTGCGATGCTGTGTCAAAAAGGGTTGATGTGATCCTCAGATGTATAAACGGGGAATAGCAAGTAGGAGATGGAAAGTAAATTTTACCTCTGTGTAAGGCATTGGTGAGACTGACAGCGGAATATTATGTACAGTCCTAGCGTCCACATTTTTAAAATGATGTTGAAAAATTGGAAAGGGTGCAGACAAGGGGCACAAAAATGATTTGAGGGTTGGAGAAAATGCCCTACAGTGAGCAGATTCAAGAGCTCAATCTGTTTAGTTTATCAAAATGAATATTTAGAGGTTACTTGATCACAGTCCATAAAAATACCTTCATGGAGAGAAAGTACCAGGTACTAAGAGGGCTCTTTCATCTAGTGGAGAAAGTCATAGGACCCACCAATGGGTGAAAGGTGAAGCCAGAAACATTCAAATTAGAAATTATGTACAGATATGTAGCAGTGAGGGTGATTAGCCATTGGAACAAACTAATGGGATCAATACAGGGGTAACTGGGTAAAATATAATGGCATGTGAAATACAGGAGGGCAGATTAGATGATCTAATGGTCCCTTCTCACCTTAAACTCTAAGCCTCTGGGCTCCCACACCCCTTGCAGCATAGCTCAATAGGGTGGTATGCTGTCTTCGGCATCCTACCTGTGCTTGCAACAACCTCTTCCCTGAGGCTGTATAAGGTACAGGTGGAAGTTAATGATGAAGTGAGGAGCATATTTATTGAACTGAAAATATTTTCTGAATTCCAGACCAATGCTAATTCAAGGGTGTTAACAGGTCTTTTGTAAGGAAGGTCATAAGATAGGAAGTTTGACTTCCTACCCTACTTCCAAATTCCAGTATGGAGTACTGAACTGTGCACTGTTGAAAATAATGTTAGAGGATTTTATCCATTTAGATTATCAAAACTCTCATTGCACTTGGATACCACAGTCAGCAGAGTTGTAAAAAAGAAGAATGGGAGAGCGAAAAGGAATTGGTTTAGTCAGATTGGAAAACGGCAGGAGGGAGAATTTAAAAGGAGGGTGGGAAATGAGTGTAGGGAGCAAGAAATAAATAATTCGGGTAAATGCCAGTTGTTAAATGGTTAGCTGAAGGTTTAAATCTTGCATGCCATACAATATGCACCATGAGTTCTTACAGCTTTCCAAAGAGGATGGTGTTATGCCCTGAGAACATCTCTCCTGGCATGGAGTGACCAAAGAAGAGACTGCCCCTAGGGAACTCATTTCAATTTTTAAATACAGAGCCTAGTACATACTGGGAAGTATCAAGTAGAACAATAGTCTCTGGCACAATCTGGCTATTTTGCATTACTCAGGCAATGCAGAATGAGCATATTCTGGTCATAAATGCCCAGTGGATAATTTCCCTTGCAGAAGGGAATTGTCTGTTGGGAGGTGCACCTGGTAAGGGAAGCTCCTGTCCAGGTGCCCCTCCCAGCCTTAATATAAGGTACATGTTGGAAGGAGGGGAGACATATGTTGCGGGGAGTAGGATGGATTAGGTTTCCCTGACACCAGGACAGCTCTCATGCCAATCATAATGGAAATTTGAGCCCTTGCAGGTTAGTTGATGCTAGAAAGATACTTACACAAACCTATCCAATAAAGCTCATATAGTAGTTACTTCACTGTTGAAATTCATCATTATTATGTATTTTTCATATTACAATAGCACTGAGAAGCCCCAAAAGAGGTGAGGGCAGCAGTGGACTAGGGCCTGTAAACACACTAAGTTATTCAGTGCACGGACCGTCTCTTGCAATATAAATAAGACAAAGAGTGAAGAAAGGAAACATGTTATTTTACAGATAGGGCATGGAGGTACAGGGAAGAAGGGCTTGTCTACATGGTCACTTAGTTCATGGTCAACCAGGATGTGAATGTGCAGAGCACTAGCTTGCCATGCCCTAACTGTGTGGAGCCTGCTACCCACACTATGGAACTTTTAGTGAATGGTAACTGGTTCCCACACAGCCAGTTCATGCACATCAGGCAAGTGCATTGTAATTTGACACTCTTGTAACTGTAGAATCATAGAATATCAGGGTTGGAAGGGACCCCAGAAGGTCATCTAGTCCAACCCCCTGCTCGAAGCAGGACCAATTCCCAGTTAAATCATCCCAGCCAGGGCTTTGTCAAGCCTGACCTTAAAAACCTCTAAGGAAGGAGATTCTACCACCTCCCTAGGTAACGCATTCCAGTGTTTCACCACCCTCTTAGTGAAAAAGTTTTTCCTAATATCCAATCTAAACCTCCCCCACTGCAACTTGAGACCATTACTCCTCGTTCTGTCATCTGCTACCATTGAGAACAGTCTAGAGCCATCCTCTTTGGAACCCCCTTTCAGGTAGTTGAAAGCAGCTATCAAATCACCCCTCATTCTTCTCTTCTGCAGGCTAAACAATCCCAGCTCCCTCAGCCTCTCCTCATAACTCATGTGTTCCAGACCCCTAATCATTTTTGTTGCCCTTCGCTGGACTCTCTTCAATTTATCCACATCCTTCTTGAAGTGTGGGGCCCAAAACTGGACACAGTACTCCAGATGAGGCCTCACCAATGTCGAATAGAGGGGAACGATCACGTCCCTCGATCTGCTCGCTATGCCCCTACTTATACATCCCAAAATGCCATTGGCCTTCTTGGCAACAAGGGCACACTGCTGACTCATATCCAGCTTCTCGTCCACTGTCACCCCTAGGTCCTTTTCCGCAGAACTGCTGCCTAGCCATTCGGTCCCTAGTCTGTAGCTGTGCATTGGGTTCTTCCGTCCTAAGTGCAGGACCCTGCACTTATCCTTATTGAACCTCATCAGATTTCCTTTGGCCCAATCCTCCAATTTGTCTAGGTCCTTCTGTATCCTATCCCTCCCCTCCAGCGTATCTACCACTCCTCCCAGTTTAGTATCATCCGCAAATTTGCTGAGAGTGCAATCCACACCATCCTCCAGATCATTTATGAAGATATTGAACAAAACCGGCCCCAGGACCGACCCTTGGGGCACTCCACTTGATACCGGCTGCCAACTAGACATGGAGCCATTGATCACTACCCGTTGAGCCCGACAATCTAGCCAGCTTTCTACCCACCTTATAGTGCATTCATCCAGCCCATACTTCCTTAACTTGCTGACAAGAGTACTGTGGGAGACCGTGTCAAAAGCTTTGCTAAAGTCAAGAAACAACAGTCACTAACTGTAGGCAACCCCGTGGCTTGCCAAGGTCACAAAGGAAAGATGCAGAAATTGAACCCAGATCTCCTAACTTCCTCTTCTATGCCTTAACCACAGATCAACTTTCTTTCAAATGTTTCTATATCATTGCTTCAATTTCATAAAAATCTCTCAGCAACCTGCAACAAAATAAGTAGATTTTTCAATCCAAAAACAAGTCTCTTAATTGCTAAGGGACAGTGTTCCAATTTACCTAAAAAAAAAACAACCCAACAACCTCCAAGTAAACAAAAAACCTTACAGTCGTCCCCAGAAAGATATTAACTCAAATTCTAAATACATCATACGATTAAAACACCACAATTGACAAAACTAGAGTTATTTATTCTGTTCTAAATTAAAGAGGACAAACAGATATGAAAAAATCATCATCACATTTTCAGTACAGCAACCGCAAAATGACAGAACAATTCCCTTTTAAGCATATTTTATTCTTGGTTGAAGCATAAACATGCTTTTCCCCAGATGATTCCAACTGTTACACTTTACCTTCTAATTAAACAAATCATGCTTAATATGTGCAAATGAAATAGTCAGAATCATACTATCAGATTTCCTGAAAACAAGGCACTTTGGTTAATTTCCAACTGATTGGGAAAGTAGTATTGTTGAACCATAATTGATTTTCTTATTTTATGCAATTCAATGGGTTGTTTTGTGTAGTACTTAACTACAAATTAAAGAATAATTTCAGAATACAATGAAATATGAGGAAGATTTTTTTATAACCCAGTGGACATTCACTCAATGTCCTTACTTGATTTTTTCTTTGGTGAACGTGATATACAGATCACACATTAGCTATGGTGATAAAGATTTCTCCAGTAGTCCTGAAAAAGTATTGTGACTACAGAAGCCACTTACCACTAATTATGGTTTTCAAGAGCATTGCCTGC